TGGTGTCGCGTGGGACTCGAGTGTGGCTGGGGGAGGTACCTTGATGTGAGGGACGAAGACGTCGTCTCGCTTGATGGTCGCCGTGCGCCACCAATCGACTGCCGCGAGAAGGGAAGCCTTCTCCTCGAGCGTCAACTTAGCGATCAGGGCAGTGGTGTCGGAAGAAGAAGCCATGGTGAATGGCCGGGCTCTCAGGGTATCAGGGAGGGTGGTATGAGAGAACGCTCTGCATGTCGTAATGCTTGTGTGTCCCAGAATGGACTGGAGGCATCAGCTTTTGTATCCAGCCCGCCATGTCCATCGGATGGGGCCCGCAACGTGTTGTGATATGGGAGAAAGAGCACGAGACGAGGCAAGCGAGGCCATCGCGGTGACGTCTCCGCCGTATTGCCAGCACCGCGTCGCGACCAAGTGGGTCATTTCTCGGACTAGCCCCCTCATCATTGGCTGTTTGCCGACACCGCTCCGGCGAGAGGCGCATCTGATTCGGCGTGTCTCCACTGCTCTGCGGCACGCGAGCTCCAGGATTGGTCAAGCGCCGAGCGCGGCGGAGATACGGAGTTGAACCCCGGCGAAACTTGGGGACGTGCCGACAGCGGAAATGCCCCGGAGTATTTTATTTCAGGGGACAAACACACAAACACACCTCGTCGACGACTCGTGAATGGCCTCGCCCATTGCAACCCCCCGCATGTCACCTCGTGGCCACGACGTCCAAAGAAATGTCGCCATTCCGATGGCTGTCGACGCGACTTGACGAACCATGTTCACGATGCCGAAGATGGACGTACCATTGTCTGGTCTGACTGATGGTCGGGCTGATGTCCGGTCCGGAAAGACTCACGTCCATCGTCTATAAAATCATCACGCCGCCGACAGACAATCGCACTTCTGTCCGTGTCTCCCCGCCTATCCAGCCTTCACTGCATTCCTGGGCCCGTTGTCTTGTCTCCCTGCCTCCGCCCCTTCCCCGCAAGCCGCCCTGCCCACTTCGACAGCCCTTTCGACCACCCCTCGACTGCCATGGCCTCCAAGATGCCGGAGAAGGACCCGTCCATCAGTGAGGTGGCCGACGATGGCCCCGCCCGCGAGACACTCGACCAGCAAATCACCCGTCTGGCGAGCGAGGATCCCCCCTTTTACAGGAACCACAACCTGCTGGTGCTCTACCTCCTCATCATCCCGGGATGTCTCATGCCCGCCGTCACCCTCGGCTTTGACGCCGCCATCATGAACGGCCTTCAGGCTGTACCGGCTTGGGATGCTTGTAAGTACTGTACACATGTCCCAACGAGAGAAAATGCTAACCCTCTGTCCCTCCAGACTTCAACAAGCCCCGCGGCGCCATCCTCGGCCTCCTCTCCGCCAGCATTGGTCTCGGATGTCTCGTCGCCACCCCCTTCATCAGCTTCGTCGGAGACCGCTGGGGCCGTCGTATGGGAATCTTCCTCGGCGCTGTCATCATGGCCATCGGCGGTGTGCTGCAGGGCGCCTCCTTGAACAGTGAGTTGGGACATGAAGGGCGAGCCTTTCTGATCAGTTATTAACATGCCCAGTCGCCATGTTTGTCATCTCCCGCTTCATCATCGGCTTCGGTTTGGTGTTTGCGAATACCTACGCCCCCATGCTCATCGGAGAGCTCGCCCATCCTCGTGATCGCCAAGTCATCACGTCGCTGTACCAGACGTCGTGGTATCTGGGTGCCGTAGCCGCCGCCTGGACCAGTGCGTCTTCCCTACCCATCAGCCATGCTACGTATGCTGACCTGACTTTCCTCCAGCCTTTGGAACTTTCAGGATCCCCAACGACTGGGCCTGGCGTATTCCCTCATACCTCCAGGCTGCCCCCGCCTCGGTCCAGATCTTCTGCATCTGGTTCCTCCCCGAGTCACCCCGGTTCGACATCGCCAAGGGTCGCCCTGAAAAGGCCCGCGACTTCCTCTTCAAGTACCACGCCAACGGCAATGAAAAGTCAGAGCTGGCCGACCTCGAGTACCGCGAAATGCGTTTCGTCATCGAAGCCGAAGTTGCTAACAACACAGGCTGGCGCACCCTGCTCAAGACCCCCGGCAATCGTCGTCGCATGCTCGTCCTCGTTCTCCTCGGCATCTTCTCGCAATGGAGCGGCAACGGCCTCGTCAGTTATTACCTCGTTCGCGTGCTAGAGACGGCCGGCATCACAGAGTCTCGCACCGTCAACATTATCAATGGCTGCCTCATGATCTTCAACTGGATCACCGCCGTCTTGTCGGCTTTTGCCTCTGGCCGTCTGCGCCGCCGCACCCAGTTCATCATCTCCGTCAGCGGCATGCTGGCCGTCTTCAGCGCGCAGACACTTTGTGCAGGCCTCTACAGCGAACGTCATATTGCCTCGGCTGGCTACGGCGTTCTGGCCATGCTTTTCCTCTTCTATATCTTCTTCAACTTCGCATTTAATGCCCTGCTTTACTCGTACCCCGTCGAGGTGCTGCCCTACCCCATCCGCGCAAAGGGATTCTCGGTCCTCATGTTCTTCAACAAGGGGTCAAGCTTCATCAATGCTTTCGTCAACCCCATTGGCCTCAAGGCGCTGGCCTGGAAGTACTACATCGTCTACGTCGTCTGGCTGTGCTTCGAGCTTGCTGGCGTGTACCTCTTCTTCCCCGAGACGTCGGGCCGCAGCCTCGAAGCGATTGCCGAGGTCTTCGACGGTCTTGCATCGCTCGATATTGAGAGAGCGCGCGCTGCCGCCCTGGAGGGTGATACAAAGGAGGGTCTGAAGCAGGATGTGAAGCAGGACTAGACAGGCTGAGAGGGACGATCGACTGACGTGACCTCGGACCATAGCTATTGTTTCCTGGCCCGATTGACGAAAGAGAAGGGAGCCGTAGGTGGAAGAGCGGGCCTTGTATACCTCCTAGGTCTAGACTGCGGAATTGGACTCGCCTCCTGATTCGAGGCCCCTGACGTGATGGCCGCCCTGCATGACACCATCGCCATCGTCTCCATAATGCAGTCGCCCCAGATACCCGCTATCTCCGCGACTCGAGCCTCCTACAACCCCCCAAATCATGCCTAGAAACGCGTGCACATCGTGTCGGTGAGTGCCCAATCCCAGGATTCGCGATTGAATTGACGAGAAACTCACCCAGCCGCCTAGGACGAGCAAAGTGCGATGCCTGAGCCAAGGCCCGGGCGCTATGTGCCGTCGCTGCCAGGGGAGAAAGATCGCCTGCTCGTACGTTCAATGGGCGCCGAGTCCAGAGTCTTCCGTCTCGCCACCCGCACAACCGCAGACGTACAGTTTGAGCCGCGAGACGGTCGGCCTCGACTTGGGACGTGGGCGGCCAGAAGAGATCCTGCGCGAGGCCCAGTTCACCCACTCTCTCATTTTGCTGTACTTTAGCAACCTGGGAGACGTTCACTTCCTGTTTGATGAAGAGGTGTTCCTGCGCCGATATGCCCTGGGAGAGGTATCCGAGGTGGTGCTCTTCGCCATGATGGCGCTGAGCATCAGGTATGATCGCCTTCGTCAAACTGTCAACGACCGATGCTGACGAAACAGATTCTCTGTTGCTCCCTTCCGCGAAGACCTTGGGCCGTCTCATCGCGGTGAAATTCTCTTCGAGCACGCGCGAAGCCTGCTCATGGAGGAGTTTGACCGCCCGTCCATCGCCGCGGCTCAGGCATATGTCCTGCTGAGCACATACAAGCTGGCCTACGGCGGCTCACGGCAGGCCTTCCTGTATCTCGGTATGTTCACACTCTGCCCTCCATTAATTCCCTCACTGACCCCTTCCCCAGGCTTTGCTGTCAACATGCTCAAGGTGCTCCGACTGCTGGACGTCAATGCCGAGATCGACCCGGTGAGACTCGAATGCAGCCGTCGACTCGCCTGCACCATCGCTCTGCTCGACCGCTTCGTCGCAGTCCCTCTCAAATTGGCACCCCACCTCTCGGACGCCGTTCCCATGATGATGACCGATGATGAGTTCTGGGCCCTCAAGCGACGCGCACCGGGTGCGCCCCCTCGCAAGGCTTCCGTCAACCAAGAAATCCTCCGACTGTCAGAGACGCTTGTCAAGGCGTGCAAGGCGGCCACTGCAGGAGACACGACAGTTCTCGCCGAGGTGCGCCGCAGTCTCGAGGGCTACTGGGTCGATGATCAGGGGCTGCAGTATACGCAGGCCAACCTCGATCTGCATCGCGACAAGGATACGCTGCGTAGTTTCGTCTACATGCACGTCCTGTACCACCACGTCGGACAGCTCGCACACTTTCCCTCAGCCCCTGGGGGCACACCCGGGCCCAGTCCCGAGTGCCACCACCACGCCCGATCCATCGCCGCTATCACTCAGCACACTTGGCTGCACGCGGGGCTTGACCTGCACAACGTGACAGTTGGCCAGATCTTCACGCTTTCGTCCGTGGTGCTCTCGCATGCGCTGCTGGTCACGCCGACAGCTGAAGATGAGCAGCTACGACTGGTGCTCCGGGCATCCATCACGAGGGTCAAGAATCATACACGCATGTTCAACTGGGTGGTAAGTCTGAAAGCCTCGACTGCCGGTGGACGTTTGCTGACGGATTAGCTGCAACACTTTGATGAATGGACCGCCAAGACAAGGTCGCTCGCCGTCTTTGATCAAGAGGACCTCCTGGATGATATCCTCTTCTTGGGAAGCCAGTTTGAGAAGTTTGACCACCGGACAGCTGGTGAGTGACTCTCTGCAGATGAGATGCTGCCATGAACTGACATGACATGACACAGGCCAGACGCACAAGTTTCAGTCGATTGGGAGTATCAGGATGCGTTGATGTAGGGTATTTATGAAGGGCTGGTTCCATGATGACATTGGTTCATAACAAGATTGTTTGTACACCACTCTCGCTTGGCTTTGGGATGGTTGCGTCTGATCTGAAGCAAATTGAAGATTTTCCTTTCGAGTCATGCCTCGTGGACCCCACGGCACACCATCCATGAGCGGGAACTCCGACGGGCGACTCCATCAACAGCCAGCCGCCCGGCTAGCTCAATCGGTAGAGCGTGAGACTCTTACCCAAGAGATCACATCTCAAGGTTGTGGGTTCGACCCCCACGTCGGGCTCAATTCCTGACGTTTCCTGCCCGCAGGATCCTGACGATGATTTTTTGCAGTTTTGGATGAAGCGGGGAGGATGTGTTGGGCATATTCCAGCCACGATGGCTTCGACGGGTCCAGAAAGGGAGTGTCCGACAAACCCTGACATAATTACATGTAGATGCAGAACCGTCCAAGCGAAGGTAGCATCCCGGTTACTCCGAGCTTTCTCCCGTCACGGCGATGGTGTTCAGCTGTTGCGGAGAATCCTCGGTGCCCATCATCTTCCCCGCCATCCCTTGCCATCCATCCATCCCGCACAAGTCCTCGGGCGAGCAGGGTACGAGATGACCCTTAGTGCAACTGCCGACAATTCAGTCCGCCGAACTTGGAAGCAGCAAGCGCCCCGCGAAGCAGCTCGGAACATCCGGGGCGCACTGCAAAGGACCAAAATCGGGGCCGACATTCCCCCACCTTTCCGAAGATGCTGCCCCTCTTCCAGCCACTAAAGGGCCCGGATTCACATGCCCACCTTCGGGTCCGATCCCGGCCGTCTTCAACCCGACCACCGAACCCCCGACTCGATCGCGGAGATCCCGAGTGAGGGGACGACATTCGTCTTAATATGTACAGAACCCTTGCTCCCAGGTAACCTCATGCAGCTTCAAGCACACCCCTAGACACGCCCAGTATGCCCGAGCTGACCATCACTCACGTCCACTTCGAGCACTACGCTCCGGGCGCTGCCCTCGGCGTCGACGAAACCAGACCGCGCATCTCCTGGCGTTTCGGGAACGCGCCCAATGGGTTCTGCCAGGACCGCTACGAGATTCGGTTGAGCAAGGTGGTTAATGGAGAAGAAACCGAGCCAGCAATATTCGAAACCACATCTTCAGAGTCCCATCTCGTGCCCTGGCCAGCGGCAGACCCCGTCTCTTCTCGCGAGCGATGGGCAGTCCGTGTTCGCGCTCGCGGCACCGGCAGCACCGACTTCACCCCCTGGAGCAAGCCCGAGTACTACGAGGCCGGCTTGCTATCTCGCGACGACTGGTCTGCCAATCTCATTTCTGCACCCTGGGCCGCCGCGGACCCAAATACGTCCAAGCCTGAGGATCTCTTCCGCAAGGACTTCTCCATCACCGGCAAAATCCGCTCAGCCAGGCTCTACATCACCTCTCACGGAGTCTATGAGGCCGAAATCAACGGCCGCAGGGTCGGCGACTTCTTCCTCGCCCCTGGCTGGGCGAGCTATGACGGACGGCTGCCGTACCAGACGTACGATGTGACCGAGCACCTCACAGCTGGGACCAACGCCATTGGTGTCCGTGTTGCCGAAGGCTGGTTCAATGGACGCCTTGGATTCCATGGTGGCCGCCGTAACATCTGGGGCGACAGGACCGCTCTTTTTGCCCAGCTGCAAGTCACACTTGCCGACGGGTCGCAGGTCAACATTGCAACAGACAACGAGTGGAATGTCCGCCAGGGACCGATCCGGCTGGCCGAGATCTACGATGGAGAAAAGTATGATGCCAACGCCGAGATTCCGGGGTGGTCGAGCCATGGCCTTGACTCCAAGGACTGGAGTACAGTTGAAGTCTTGCCTGCCATTTCTGCCGACGTTCAGCTCGCCAGGGGTTCGGCAGAATCTGTCCGTCGCATCGAGACTTTGCAGCCTATCGAAACAATCACCACCCCTTCAGGAAAGACCATCCTCGACTTTGGTCAGAATCTCGTCGGATACATCCGTATCAAGAACGTCAGCGGCCCCGCCGGCCACACCCTCACCCTCTCGCACGCCGAGGTTCTCGAGAACGGCGAGCTTGGCATCCGGCCACTGCGCGTCTGCAAGGCCCAGGACACGTACACCCTTCGCGGCGATTCAGCTGGCGAGACCTATGAGCCTCGTTTCACTTTCCACGGCTTCCGCTACGTCCAAGTCGACGACTGGCCATCTTCGGCCGCAGACGTGTCCACCTCTCTCGAGGCTGTCGTGTGCCACACGGACATGGAGGAGCGCGGCACATTTTCGTGCTCCGAGGCAAAGATCAACTCCCTCTTCTCGAATGTCCGCTGGGGCATGCGCGGAAACTTCCTCTCCGTGCCGACAGACTGCCCGCAGCGTGATGAGCGACTCGGCTGGACGGGAGACTTGGCCCTTTTCGCGCCCACCGCGGCTTTCGTGTACGGCTGCCACGGCATCCTCCGCGACTGGCTCAAGGACGTGTGGTTCGATCAGAAGAAGCAGGGAGGTATTCCGCCCGTGGTGAGTCCGAACGCACTCGCCGGCGCAGGACCATTTGGGCACCCCATGCCGTTCGCCATCTGGGCCGACGTCACGGTGCTCGCGCCGTGGACCCTATGGGAGGAGACGCGGGATCCGGCGGTCCTTGAGGCGCAGTACGAGTCCATGGAGACGTGGCTGGAGGTGATCCCAAGGAACGAAGAGGTGTCAACGAGTCTGTGGAAGTTCAGTAACATACAGCTGGGTGTAAGTCGGACACCTTCACTGACGTTGCACGAGCAATGCTGACCACTTACCCAGGACTGGCTTGACCCCAACGCACCACCAGCCGAGCCGCAAAAGGCCACAACTGACCCGGTCCTCGTCTCAAATGCCTTCCTCATCAACTCCCTCGACCACATGGTGCGCATCGCCGGCGTCCTCGGTAAAGAGGACGACGTGGCTCGCTACTCGAAGTGGGCTGCTGATGCCCGCGCCGACTTCACCGCCGAGTACACCACAGCCAACGGCCGCCTCATGTCAGACACGCAGACAGCCTACGCCCTCGCCATCTGCTTCGACCTCGTCTCCCCCGCACACCGAGAGCGTGCGGCCGAGCGCCTCGTCGACATCGTGCGTCGCAACACCTTCCGCGTCGGCACAGGCTTCGCCGGCACGCCCTTCATATGCGAAGCGCTTACCCTCGTGGGACACTCGGACGTCGCCTATTCCATGCTTCTCAACGAGGCGTGTCCGTCGTGGTTGTACCCCATCACCATGGGCGCGACGACAATGTGGGAGCGCTGGGACAGCATGCTTCCGGATGGATCGATCAACCCTGGCGAGATGACGAGCTTCAACCATTACGCCTACGGCGCTGTGGCCAAGTTCATGGTCGAGCGACTCGCGGGTCTGAAGCGGACAGCGCCGGGATGGACCAAGGCGGAGGTCAGGCCTGAGGTTGAGGGACCGTTTACGTGGGCCAAGGCGGAGCACGTCACGCCCTACGGCAAGGTGTCGAGCTCGTGGGTGCTAGAAGAGGGTGTCTTGAAGATTGACGTCGTGGTGCCGCCGACGACGGAGATGGAGGTCGTCATCCCGGGCGCCGATGGGCCACGGACAGAGGTGGTTGGCGCAGGGTCGTGGTCATTCTCGACGCCGTACGAGAGGAAGAAGTCGTGGCCGGTCAAGGCGATAGGAATCTTTGATTAGGGCGTCGATCTGCGAAGAATACAACCTTAAGCTGCATAAGCATGGCATTTGTCAAACGAGCGAAGAATTGAACGGGAAATGTGAGCGTGGGTATGTCACAGTCAGAGAGTCAGGGGGCTGGAGGAATACGACGTTTTCCTCTCGGAGAGGTTCCGACCGACGGGGGCGAAGCGGCGCTGCCGAAAAGAGAACTCCCGCCCTTCTGCCCCCCGCGCGGAGTATCGCTCTGACTCGTTCTGATCGGCCTCTCGCCTCCGCGTAGCACCGCGGAAGCAGGAAGCCGGGCGGAAGCCGGTCGCTACATCCGCCCGCCCAGCCCTACGTCAGTTCAGTCTCTGCAGTTCGTATATAACCCGACATCCATCTCAACCTCGGAATGCCCCCATCACTCAGCTACCCCCGTTCATCATCCTCACGACCGCCATCATGTCCAACACGGCAACAGAGCTCACCGACCTGGCTCCCCTGCGTCACCCGAGCCCGCCCCTCGCAACCGCCAAGGGCGATGACAATGGCCGCCGTCTCGGTTCTCATGAGGACGGCGCTCCGGTCATGGAGACGCGCGACTTGCCAAGCCCCTCGACGGCCTCACCCGTCGTGGAGAAGTGGAACTTTCCCCAGTCCAACATTTTCCGTGTGTTCGCCTGCTTTTGGAGTTTGATGGTTACCGGAGCCAACGATGCAGCCTATGGTGTGAGTTGAGGACGCTCTGAACTGCTCTATGAAGCCCCAAAGCTGACCATGATAGGCCCTGCTCCCCTACGTGAGTCTCCCACGATTGATACCTGTCCTTCCACTAAGACCTTGCAGCTTCAAGAATACTACAAGCTTGACTACCTTGTGGTCTCCCTCATCTTCTTGTCCCCATTCGTCGGCTACATCATCGCCGCCTCGATGAACAACTTTCTCCACCTGAGATTTGGACAGCGCGGCATCGGCATCATCTGCGGCGCTGCCCATATTGCGGCCTACCTCATCATCTCTCAGCACCCGCCTTACCCTGTCCTCGTCGTCGCATATGTCATCGCTGGGTTCGGCAACGGCATCGGTGATGCCGCCTGGAACGCATGGGTCGGAAACCTCGCCCGCGCGAACGAGCTTCTCGGATTCCTCCACGCATTCTACGGTGTCGGCGGCACAATCAGCCCTCTCATTGCTACGGCTATGATCACCCAGCTCGGCCTACAGTGGTACCACTTCTACTACGTTCTGGTATGTGTTTCTGTCTTTCCGAAACAGTCCTCGATAGCCATGCTAACCTCCGCAGCTCGCCATCTCCGTCGTGGAACTTGTTGCTTGCACCTGGTCTTTCTGGGCCAACAACGCTACTTCCTACCGCGAGAGCATCTCTCACACAGATGCCGGCACAAAGGGCGCCCTGCGCAGCTCCCTCTTCACCGCCCCCTATGCCCGTGTCACCTGGGTCTGCTCGGCCTTCCTGGTTTGCTACGTCGGATGCGAGGTATCACTCGGTGGCTGGCTCGTCCAGTTCATGATCAGAGTTCGCGACGCGGCACCTTTCGATGCGGGCATGACCTCCGTTGGCTTCTGGCTCGGCCTGACACTCGGTCGCGCCACCCTCGGCTTCGTCACT